TTTGACCAATTGTATCATTTTAAATCTAATATTTGAGATGTGTAAATATTTTAATTTTTATCAAATTTGTTTTATTTATATTTATTATAATGTAATTATTAAATATACTTTGCTAACAAATAAAAAAAAAACGTGTAATCCCAAGCGTGTGGTTCAGCGGTAGGGGTTGATCCACGCTTAAGCAAGGTCAGGGGTTCGAATGCTGCCTTGTGTATGCAGCCGCGTTAAATCTTGGGGTCAGTTATCCCACCCTTTGAGGTGCCTCCAACCTAGTGAGGAGATTAGTCACTGCTGTCGACGGTGGATACTCCAGGAACGAACCTAAAAAATAAAAAACGTGTGCACTTTTGAATTCAAATTTCTAGATCGTCGGCCATATAGGCGACTTTCCCTAGTTTTGAATTTTACTTGTGCTACTCTTTAATGCTGTGGGCCTTAAGAGAAAAATATAACAATGACCCGTTCAAACAGAAGGAATTTAAGGAAAGAAAGTGAGAATGAGGAAAAAAAAATTTAATTGAAAAGCAATTTTTAATTTTTAAAAAGTCATTTTTTTTCTCTATTTTTTTCAACTAGATAAAAGAAAAGATATTATAATTTATATATTTTTCTATTTTATTTTTTGCTTCTCGGCCAAATATAGCATGAAAGAATTACGCGTCTTCTCATGCTATAAATAAATATCGAAAATTATTTATTCTTTGGGTGAAAGGATTATCTGTCGAAGACGTTAATGATTCTATTGAGAAAAAAGAAACAGATATTAATGACGGATCAAACAAAGCATTTTATAGTCATTTGTTAAACTCGAATTTCAATTTGAGATCTAAAGGCAAAAAAAAATTGTAATGTAGGAAATTTTAATTATTATATTTTGTATAGATTATTAATATTTTATTCGAATTTAATTAGAATACATGGGAGCAGTTCGCATTAAACCATATTCTCGTCTCCTAAAAAAGTAATTTTCTTGTAGTAAATTAATAATCATAATAAGAAAAGTATTAGTAGCGTAACATACTTTTATAATAATTTTTAATGCATTATTTTTATTGATTAATACTTATTAAAAACTGTAAAATCATGAGATAAATTCATTAATAGATGTGAGACTCGCCAAACTTTTATAATTTTTAATAAATTTAAATTAATTAAAAGAAATTTGTTTAAAAGAGTGTAGGATGTTCTTAACAGTATCTAGACGAGTTAGATTGGGTGCATGCCAGAGACTTTTTTTATTTTTTATTTTATCACGGGAGCAGTTCACATTAATGCATAAATCTGGTCAAAGAGGTACTATTTCATGGAAATGGACATCATGTTTCGAACGTGCATGACGTAAGCCATTATGTTTTTGGATTTAGACTTTTCTTTTTCTTATAAATTTCAATGAAGTATTTGATAAATAAAAAAATCAAAGAAGAAGATTGTATTGTAAAAAAAAAAGTAATTAGTTTATTTATTACATTTTAGAGTCTTATACAATTTTGTTTTTGTTTGACCGATAATTGTGGATTTTTTTATATTTTATTTCATCTTTGAACATAAAGTATATGCTAAATATTAATTAAATTAATGAGCTTAAACATAATTTAAAGAAAAGGTTAATAAAAAATTATTAAATCATAAACGAAATAGATAAATTAAATTATGTGTCATAATTTTTGAATAAGCTAAATTTAAATTTTGAATAGTGAGCACATCACAATTAGAGTAATCCAGAGATTTGTTTAAGTGTGACATTATACAATTGAGGATGACTTAAATAAGCTAATTTGTATTACTTATACCAAGATTCATCTACTTTTTAGTAACACATCACAAAAGAACTTTATAGATAAATGTGTTTGACTTGGGACAATTTAGGGATTGATAAAGTATTGAGAACAAAACTTATTGAAAAGTATTATGTTGGTTTGTAGTTAGTCGTTGATCCTAAAAGCAGACACAGATGAACATCTCAAAAATGGCTACCTACAAAGGATTATGACTAACAAACAATTGTGTGAAGTATCATCGTATAAAGTATCGTGAAGTGAAGTTATCGAGATGTTAAATATGAGGAGTGTTATAGATAATATTATAACACATCATTTCTTCTAGTACAATGTGGTTCCGGAATGGATTAAATAGTAGCCCGATTCGAGAATAAACTAGGCAGAAACCCAATTCTGGGACAAACTAGACATAACCCCAATTTGGGAACAAACCATGCAGAAGCCCGATTCAGGGATAAATCAAGCAAAAGTTGGTGAGCTTGTAATAGCTTAAACACATCAAAATGAGAGGGACCATATTTGTACGGGTATAAAATTGTACAGTTAAGAATAACTTAAAGAGATTAATTTGTACAACCTATATCAACAATTTAAAGATAAGTAACTTTCTAAGTTCTTTTTCAAAAAACGTGTAAGTAGAAAAAAAACTAACACGTTAAAAAATCTTATGTTAATTTGTGGGATTATCCTAAAAGTAAATGAATATCTCAAAAATAATTACTCACAGAGAATTAGAATAAAGCTACTAAGACATCAAATAAGATAAGTGTTAAATCAATTTCTAAATTTAATTCATTTAATAGTATAAGTTAAGATTAATTTTGATACATTTTGATTGTAAAGATTTTTATATCCCTAAACAATTAGACAATATACACTTTTCAAATAATTATTATAAAATTTATCAATTTTAAATTATATGACAAAATTATTGTTAGACGACAATATAAAAAATATTTATACATCAGATATCATAATTATATTCTAAGATTAAACAATTATTTTTATTTCCATAAGCTGAACTTAATCTTTAAATGCTTGACTTTTTACATTTTTAATCCTAAATATTCATAAGTCACACATAGACAAAAAAAGTGAAATGAGTTAATAAGTTTTAAATGTGGCTTAAGAATACAAGTCTAGTTCATTTTATGACGAATTTAAAAGTTCAACGTCAAAACCAAGCCTTTTGTTTTTACTATTAGTTGAGATTGATTACATTGCGGTAAATTATATTTAATGGCTTATAATCAAGTCAATAGTTTTTAAATCTTTCTTAATTATTTTATCTATAATTTTTCTTTGTCTCTTATTAATTGTGTTACTTACGATATAATATATCCATTCTCCTTATTTGAGTTTTAATAAGTCTTCTTCACACACGTGGCATATTCAAACTACTTAATATAAAAAAAATTTAGCAGTTTTTTCTACAAGAGGTTTTACCTTACCCTTTTTTTCTAATGAGATAATTTATAATTCCATCTTATGTGTAGTACCTGTACTTCATCCAAAACAACATTAATTCTCGTATCTGTCACAAGTTTATTTTATTAGGATGATTCATGTCAAAGATTTAGTTTGATAAAGTTTTTTTTTTAATGTTATATTAGTGCCTAACACAATCTTTATCTCTTATTCGGGTTTGGGATTTGCAAACAAAGTACTCCGTACAACATAAGTGAATTTTAAAAATCTAAAAAAAAAAATTGAAATGATGAGTTAAGGGTCAACTCGCTTAATTTTGGACATAAAAAATAGGGGATCAACCCGCTTAAATTTAATTTTAATTTCAACTTTTTATTCCAATCCTCTGCGCCTCCTCCTAAATTCCAGAAATGCCAAAGTTTTTTAGTTTTATTTTTTATTGTTCATAAAATATATTTTAAGAAAATCAAAAGGCACAACATTATTAATATAATATTTTATAAACATTTGAATAACTATATTTTTACTTTCATGATATTATATATTACATTTACTCAATATAATATAACATTTAAAAATATAAAAATAGAACAATTTCTTTGTTAATCTCAATAAAAATATTATCAACTATTCTGTTCACACCAGCAAAGTATACAAATTAATTGAGTCACTTTGTGGCCTTTTATTATGCCTTTATTAAGTTAATTTTTTCCTTCGCACAACTATTTTTTGATAGTTTTTATGTCAATCAATCCAACAGTACCACTTTGGTCTCAAAAATAATGTTCCTGCCACCCTTTAAAAGTCACCCAAAAATTGAAAAATGTACACTTTCATACTAACATTCATTGATTTGTAATACAAATTTTAACATATTATATAAATATTTATTGTTATATAACTTAAAAGTTTTATATAAATTAATTAAATTTAATTTAAAATATTTTTCATTTCTAATTACTTATCTATAATTATTAAAGGAAAATAAAAAATAAAATATATTTTACATATTTAAAAATAGAACAAATGATTTACTAAATTAAAATATTAAATTATATATATATATAT